CAGTGACTGTACTGGGGTGTGGGGGAAGACTCAATAATATGGGTGAATGTAATAACCACAATGTTGCTCTTATGAAACCTTCATATGATTGTCTATCAATGATACCTTAGTAAAAAAATTTTTAAAAAAAGAGTAAGAGGAGGCACATTGGGGTTTTGTTATTTTTGTTTTCCTCCCTTACCTTAAAAACTAGGTTTGTATTTCTGGTTAGTTGCATAATAGCAGAACTCAGGAGTTATATCCAGCCTGGTCCCCACCTCAGCTTGCCTCCCTCCCTCCCCAAAGATAATATTGTACAAAACTATATTTACAGGAAGACCAATTAAAAATTAAGGGTGTATACAAAAGTAGACAAAAGGGCAAGAAATATCAATGTAGGGACAGCTTTACGAATATCAAAGATATCAGTGCAGGTAAGAATTTAAATAATCCCTGCTCTGGCCACACTGCAAGATTGTAGGAGGTCAAATGAGATGACGAAGATGAAATCACATGGCAGTAAGCACCTTAGCAGATGCTGCAGCCCTCTGCCACCTGTCAGTCTGTCCCTGTGACTTGTAACACCTATGAAAACCAAGATCTGCCAACATCAAGCTGGCTGCTGCCCTCCCTCATCATCACCACCACCATCAACACCACACTTCATCAACAAGTGGCAGCCACATTGGGCTTGGGGGCCAGAAACTTCATGGACAATTTTAGATGTTTGACATTGGACTAATCTTTAAACTTCTTTGGGTTTGTTTCTCATCTGCAAAGTAGAGCTGATAATAGTATTTCTATCACTGTTGTTATGAAGTAAGTAATAGAATGTACATGAAGCAAACTGTAAATCTCTCTATACAAATGTAAGATGTTATTACAATTCATTTATTAAAGAAGCACATTTGAACTTCTACTACATGCCAAGTACTTTTCTAGGTTCTCGGGTAAGGCTGTGAACAAATCAAAGTTCCTCCTCATGGAGCTTAGGGTCCACGTGAGGATAGTAAGCTAGTAAGTATAATTGCCTGGTAGTGATAAATGTTATGAAAAACCCCCACAGGCTAAATATATGTAAGGTGAAAAGGGAGGCATAGTTAGGGAAAGTCACTCTGATGAGGGGGGCAGAGATGTGAACGACGACAGGAGAAGCCAGGGAACACCAGGGGGAGGAGCATTCCAAGCAGAGAACAGCCTGCTGGACCGGCTGAGATGGGAGCGTGCCTGAGGGGTCTGAGGCACAGAGGCGGGCCAGTGGAGTCAGCACTGTAAGGACACTGGCCTTGCAAAGAAAACTGACATATGGGACTGGAAATATTATGGGCTAGTGCTCTCAAGAATGGGAAGATAAGATAATGCTGGGACTTGGAGCAATTGGAGGACTTAGATAAGTGGAACTGGTAACAGGAACAAAGGCACAGAGGCAGGAGTGCTAATAATCACGGTATCAGCAACTAACAGTACTTAACCATGTGCCTACACCGCCCCGTGTACTTTCACCTATAGTGTTTCATGAAATTCTGACAAAGCCTTATTAACCCCCTTAGCAGATAAGAAAATGGAGTCCAGTTACCTAAAGTGCCTGAGGTCACAAGGCTGCCAGGGCAGATTTGGGCTCAGGCTGCCTGACTGCTGGGATTACATCCTCACGCACTGCACTGATGTGCATTATGCACGTAAGGAACGCAGACAGTTCCGACTGGCGAAGGAGAAGGGAGGGGGGGAGGACCAGAGGACGGCCCCCAGGGAGCCATTCAGCAGGTTGAAGAGTCAGCAGCAGATGAAGAAAGGAGATTCAGGAAGGTTAGCATAGTGACAGAGGAGGGAGAATAAGAAAAAGGAGAGAAGAGGGCAGGCACAATTGTCCAGGTGTGAGGTGCCCAACGCCAAGCCTAGAGCAGGGCCAAGAGGGGTTAAATGAGATGAGGAAGGTAGCAAACCAACTGGATATTCATACAAATATCTTCTGAAACCTTCAGAAAATTTGCAGAGTTGCTTTGTTTTCGGCAAAGTCCCTTAGGATAAGCCTAACATTGGTCACCACTGCTTACCATCCTCAAATCTCTCAGCTCCTTGAAAGTGTAATACTGCTTGATTTCCCAACCTATCAGCTCAGAAGGTTATTAAAGTTGTCACTCCCAAACTCTGCTTACAGCTTTAGTTAAAAGGTCTGGAAAGCCACCTCCTACCGACCTCTTCATCTCGACATTATTCCAAACAGATATGGCATTCAGGCATTTCGGTCATAGAATTCTTTACCACTGTAAAATTTTGAGGATTAGATGAATATAGATTTTCAAACCTGTGATTCTAAAAATGGGGCAACAATCTTCATCCTATTGTACTTCACAAAATCAAAATCTCTTTTCTGACAAAAGAGGAGTCATTCATGACTTTTTCAATCTGAATGTACTTAGGAAATCTTAACCCTTTTCTTCCTCTTTCTTCAGTGCTTGGACAGACAGCATGGTATCATACAGAAAAAACAAATAAAAACCCAGTGGGAGTGAAAACCTTGGCCTTTATTCTGGTTTGCTCACTGAATTGGCTGTGCAGGTCACAGCCTTTCTGCGCAGAGGCTTCCTCTTTGGTAAAAGGAGAAAGCTGGCTTACGTGACCTCCCTGGGCCTACGGCCCAATGATTGGCAATAATCATCTCTACCTTTCTGAAAAGGGATGAAAATTTTAAAATGGGGGAAATAATTAAAGTGCTAAAATAATGTGTTTGAAGAGAGACTGTCAGTAAAGAACAGAACTCCCTTTATTGTTATTTTTATAACACAGGGTGTGTAAGGACAGGGACTGTTCTCAGCCTATTTCCTATATAGTGCTTTGGCAGAAAGACGGCACACAAGGTGGGCAGGGCAAGAGGGGCCTTTCTCAGTTGTGCATGTGAACAATCAGACCCCCACATGGAGTGGCACTGGCTCAACAATTGTTGGTGAGCAGTGGAGAAATTGGAGCCTTCATGTACTGCTGGTGGGATGGAAAATAGTGTAGCCTCTTTGGAAAACAGTCTGGCAGTTCCTCAAACTTAAACAATTACAGTAAGACCTAGAAATTCCATGCCTAGGTATATGCCCATGAGAAATGAAAACATATGATGCCCACGTAAAGCTACTACACAGCTGTTCACAGCAGCCTTATTCGCAACAGCCAAAACAAAATCAACTCAAATGTCCACCAACTGATGAATGGATAAACAAAATGCAGTATATCCATACAACAGAATATTATGCCACAAAAAGGAATTCAGTATTGATATATGCTACAACATAGATGAACCTTAAAAACATTATTGTAGTGGTGAGAAGTCACACACAAGAGGTCACATCTTGAATGGTCCCATTTATATGAGATGTCCAGAATAAGCAATAGAAAGGTAAGTTGTTGCCTGGGTCTGGCACAAGGAGAGAATGAGGAGGGAATGCTAATAGATACAGGGGTTCTTTTTGATATGATGAAATGTTCTGGAATTAGATAGTGGTGATGGTTGCACAACCCTGTACATATACAGAAATCATTGAATTGTACACTAGAGGTGAATTTTATGGTATGTGAATTACATCTCAATTTAAAAAAAGGCTAAAAATAAAACCCTTAAAACAGAAATGCCAGTATGCTGCAGTGATCCTCAAACTCTAGAACGTATAAAACCACCTGGGGTGCTTATTAACATATGAATTCCTGGGTTTCCCTGACATTACCATAAAAATTGCAGTCCAACAGATTCAGAGTGGAACCCAGTAGCTTGCATTTAACAAGCACACTAGGGAATGTTGATGAAAGTTTTTAGCCACGAAGCATGTTTCTCAAAACACAGTTATAATGAAAGGAAATTGTAATTTAGAAATCAGAAGAGCTGGATTCAAATTCTGATACTGCTCCCTTCCTAGTTATACAATCTTAGTCAACCCATGTAACTAACCTCTCTGCTCCTGAGTTTCCCAGACTATAAAATGTAAAGAACATCTTCCTCCAAAGAGACAGTGTACACAAAGGGTCCAGTGAAGAGTACATGGCACACAGTCAGCACTCCACCAATGCCACTGAATCCTAACCAGGTGCCAATTCCATTCAATGAACAGTCAAGTGACTAAAATATGAAAGGCCCAGTGAAAGGGGATGGAATTTAGTAGGACAAATTTTTCAAGTAATCAATTAATGGATTTTGCAAAATATGAAATAGACTTTAAAGACCAAGCATCTTTGTGGACAAACTACTTTTCTGTTGTTACTGAAGTATCATTGGTATACAATCTTAATGATAGTTTCACATACAAAGGACAGTGGTTCAACATTCACCCCTATTATCAAGATCTCACCCCCTACTGCAGTCACTGCCTATCAACATAGTAAGATGCTACAGAGTCATTAATTATATTCTCTGTGCTGTGCTACAATCCCAGTGACCTACCTATATTGTAACTGTGAATTACAGTGCCCCCTAATTCCCTTCTCCCTCCAACCTCCTCCTCCCCAACCCCTCTCCTTTCGTAACCACTAGTCCCTTCTTGGTGTCTATGAGTCTACTGCTATTTTGTTCCTTCTGTTTCACTTTGTTGTTACACTCCACAAATGAGTGAAATCATTTGGTATTTGTCTTTCTCCGCTTGACTTATTTCACTGAGCATAATACCCTCTAGCTCCATCCATGTTGCTGCAAATGGCAGAATTTCTTTTCCCTTGTTGACAAACTACCTAATACCTTACTCTTCATGACCCCAGAAAAGTGAACTTGGGAGTACCTCAGGAAAAAAATGAAACAATATGTGTTCAGGCATTTGATGATTATAAAGAATTTCTGAAGGCTACTTAAGTAAAAAAAATGGTATCTGTACTGTATTGTTACTTCTTTTCTTCCTTTGTATTCTCTCCCCAAGCAGAATGTAAGCTTAGAATTTGGTACAATGCCTTGGACTTCTCTCCAATCCCCACTGTATCTACCCCATTCCTGGGGCACATAGAAAATACCCTGTATGAATGAATGCACATCATGAAACAGTGCGGTCTGCTACCTTCAAGTCACGGTGGATGATGGGCGTTTTGCACTGATGCAGACGGGCAACAGCTTCACATGTGTCACAAAATATCTGGAGTACTTCATTTTCGGTAAAACCTGTCTGCAGGCGCTGGTTCATCAGGTTGACCACCTGGCCTCCTGAGAGGGGTGCAGAGCAAAAGAGAGGTTATAAACATTCAGACTTATCACTTACCCAAGAGAATGAATGGCTGTCCACAGAGGAATAATCTGGACTAAGGTAACAGAGCAGATCATTGGCTGATCCAGGACTGAAACCCAGGTGTGTCGATTCCTAGCCCAGGATTTGGTTCTCTTACAAGCCAGTGCCCTCTAATGTGTCAAAACATTTATTTTATGAAGCATGCCAGACATGAGCTGCTTTCATTATGTCTGCAAGGTTAGAAGAAAACTGACAATATGGTCCTGCTTATAGCAGCCTGGCTATACTGTCCCCATTGTGTGTGAGATGGGGCCACAGGTTCAACTTGCCCTATCTTGACTGCACAATAGACCCCAGGAGCAAGGAGAAGATAGCTTTACGGTCTGTGCTTTAGGAGCAGCTTTGTCTCTCTGGCTTCACTACTTGCTGCCTGGTCTGCAGAAATGCTATGCCAACACTTATAACCTCCACGAGCAAAAGGCTGACGAACTCACTTACAAAATTATCCAGACCTCTGGATGCTCCTACTGCCTCATCTCTAAACATCTGACTGTCCAAAAAGGAACAGGAAGGAAGAAACAAACTGTCAAGGTCAAATTTGGTAATATTTTACAAAATCAGCTCCACAGTCTTCATAGTAAAGGATGAAATTATTAACATCACATTTTTGGGATTAGCAACATATTTAATTTGTGAGCAGCATCTTTAAAGGCAAGGAAAATATTACTGGAAGTACGGGTGATTACAAACAGGGCACCCAACAGTGAGACAGTGGCCTAAGCTTGTATGAAGCTGCTCAGGCCAAAAAAGTCAAACCTCTGAATAAAGGTTGTATGAAATGTTGTCAACTCTGAATAAATTCATGCTAAAGTCTGGATTTCCCAAGACAAATACTGCTTACAACTCCAAGCTTTCAACTATTTAACTCTACTGTTAACAGCAACAGCATCTGAATGTTGCTCTGTGGGAAATTACAGCTCTCTAGCAAGGAGAAGGTCACTTGCATTAGATGAAAGTATTCTTTTACTCCTTAACACAAGGATGGTGGTATGAGTGGAGAAGAGAATACATGAGTGGAGTGGGGAAGCTGGTTTCTTTTTCTTTCTTTTTTTTTATTGGTATCATTAATCTACAATTACATGAGGAACATTATGTTTACTAAACTTCCCGCATCACCAAGTCACCCCCACATACCCCATTACAACCTCTATCAGCTGTAGTAAGATGCTATAGAGTCACTACTTGTCTTCTCTGTGTTGTACAGCCCTCCCCGTGCCCCCCCATTATACATGCTAATCATAAATGCACCCTTTCTTTTTTCCCACCCCTTATCCCTCCCTTCCCACCCATCCTACCCAGTGCCTTTCCCTTTGGTAACTGTTAGTCCATTTTTGGGTTCTGGGGGTCTGCTGCTGTTTTGCTCTTTCAGTTTTTTTCTTTGTTCTTATACTCCACAGATGAGTGAAATCATTTGATACGTGTCTTTCTCTGCTTGGCTTATTTCACTGAGCATAATACCCTCTAGCTCCATCTATGTTGTTGCAAATGGTAGGACTATGTTTTCTTCTTATGGCTGAATAATATTCCACTGTGTACATGTACCACATCTTCTTTATCCATTCATCTACTGATGGACACTTATGTTGCTTCCATTTCTTGGCTATTGTAAATAATGCTTTGATAAACATACGGGTGCATATATCTTTTTCAAACTGGGCTGATGCATTCTTAGGGTAAATTCCTAGGAGTGGAATCCCTGGGTCAAATGGTATTTGTATTTTGAGCTTTTTGAGGAACCTCCATACTGCTTTCCACAATGGTTGAACTAGTTTACATTCCCACCAGCAGTGTGGGAGGGTTCCCCTTTCTCCACATCCTCACCAACATTTGTTGTTGTTTGTCTTTTGGATGTTGGCCATCCTAACTGGTGTGAGGTGATATCTCATTGTGGTTTTAATTTGCATTTCTCTGATGGTTAGCGATGTGGAGCATGTTTTCATGTGCCTGTTGGCTATCTGAATTTCTTCTTTGGAGAAGTGTCTGTTCAGCTCCTCTGCCCATTTTTTAATTGGCTTATTTGCTTTTTGTTTGTTGAGGTGCATGAGTTCTTTATATATTTTGGATGTCAACCCTTTATTGGATCTGTCATTTATGAATATACTCTCCCATACTGTAGGATGCCTTTTTGTTCTATTGATGGTGTCCTTTGCTGTACAGAAGCTTTTCAGCTTGATATAGTCCCACTTGTTCATTTTTGCTTTTGTTTCCCTTGCCCGAGGAAATATGTTCATGGAGAAGTTGTTCATGTTTATGTCCAAGAGATTTTTGCCTATGATTTTTTCTAAGAGTTTTATGGTTTCATGACTTACATTCAGGTCTTTGATCCATTTCGAGTTTACTTTTGTGTATGGGGTTAGACAATGATTCCGTTTCATTCTCTTCCATGTAGCTGTCCAGTTTTGCCAACACCAGCTGTTAAAGAGGCTGTTGATTCCCCACTGTATGTCCATGGCTCCTTTATCATATATTAATTGACCATATATGTTTGGGTTATTATCTGGAGTCTCTATTCGGTTCCACTGGTCTGTGGGTCTGTTCTTCTGCCAGTACCAAATTGTCTTGATTACTGTGCCTTTGTAGTAGAGTTTGAAGTTGGGAAGCGAGATCCTCCCTGCTTTATTCTTCCTTCTCAGGATTGCTTTGGCTATTTGGGATCTTTTGTGGTTCCATATGTATTTTAAAACTATTTGTTTCAGTTCGTTGAAGAATGCTGTTGTTATTTTGATAGGGATTGCATTGAATCTATAGATTGCTTTAGGCAGGATGGCCATTTTGACAATATTAATTCTTCCTAGCCGAGAGCATGGGATGAGTTTCCATTTGTTAGTGTCATCTTTAATTTCTCTTAAGAGTGTCTTGTAGTTTTCAGGGTATAATAGGCCTTTCACTGAATTGTTTCTTTAGTTCATCTGGAGTTGGGTCTTTATTAATAATGTGCCTTCATCATTTGTTTTAAAGCATCGCAAGGAACACTTCCATTCTTGGTCTCATACATTCTCATTCACCGAGCACCAAACCTTCCTAAACCTAATAAAAAAAGTTTTGTATTATCCACCACTTTGAATTAGTTGTGCCATTGATCCTTGCCATTATAAGAATAACCAAAAGGTAACAGCAGGCTCTGAATCTTTTAGCCTCTTAGTTTTACCATCTTTAAAACCAGAATGACATACATCAGGGTACAGTACACATTGACTGAAATGACCTCCATGCCCTTGACAATCAAAGTGCTAGAAGAATGACAGCTTAAGGTATGGCTCATATACTCACCCCTACAGAAGTCCATCAAAATGAGTACTTCCCATACATCACCGCTACTCACATTGTTGATACTGGAGTCAATGTAACCCACAATGTTCTTGTGCCCCGACAAGTCTCTCTGTAAAGAGAGTTGAGGAATGTATTATCAGTTCCAGACACCAAAAGAGACAGAATGAGCCATTCAGTTCTATTGGAACAGATACTTCAAGTATATATAGATGACACAGTGATGAGAGGTAAGATTAAGGAGGAGGGTCAAGAGCAGGTTTCCAGTGGCCTCTGAGGTTCATGGCCAGAATTTCAATAGCATTTTACACCCCCACTTAAACCATAGCACTCTCATGAACTGAATTCTAGAACCAAATGCACACAGGGTGCCTACTTGCTCACAACATCAATGCTCCACGTATACCAGATGCAAAGACTCCCATTTCCAGAAACACTGCAGAGGGGCTAAGAGGAATGAGACAGTGTGAATTATTTAGATGTATGAATTTTTAATTCAGAAAAAATGAAGCTAGTATTTTTCCTGGTTGTAGGAACACAAGTGAATTCAACTTGACTTCTGCATTGCTCATACTCTTTTTATCTCTTTAGGAAATATATGGGGAAAAAAAGCTGCTTCACAAAATTCTGAGGGGACTACAATGGCATCCAACCTAAACATTTTACTCATAATTAATTCTTCAAACTGGGATATAAGATGGGTCATGTGTAGCTCTCCGGTTGGAACTGATATGATCTCTCAGGGCTGATTGTGGAATTCACTTATTCAACAAATATTTATCAAGCACTTCCTATTTGTCAGAACTCATTTAAGCACTGGAAGTTTCCTCATACCTTGGTAGAGTTATTTTGACATCAACAGAGGCAAATCTTTGTAATGATGATATTCAAAATCCAAGATCATCAAGAACTAAGTTGGAGAAAGAAAAAGTGAGCAGCTGGATAATAGGATTTTTAGACAAACACAAGGCAAGATATTTCTAAACTATTTTTAATAATACACTATTTTGTTTTTAAAAAAGTCAGGGGGAGGAGTGGAAAATAAGTGGTTCTATGAGTCAGCATACAAACATGGCAGTTTAGATCACAGGAACAGTAACTACCATGACACTAACTGAAGATTCAGCTGTTTATAGTGATAAAATCTCTTCAGTCTGCAATTATATACCAAGAGGAAGTTTCCTAGTATCAAATGAACACACCTGAACCCTAAGTATCAAAGTTGCAAGTCATTAGAACTTTCCTTTGAGTGAGGGATTAAGAATGACTCCTGCCTCAGAAAAGCAGACAAAAACAGAAATGTAACCACTGGAATTGGCAGTTGGGAAGTTTCTGGAAAGCTATGCAGGAACAGTTTCAGAGAAAGGACGGAATGGACAAGAGAACAGAACAGGGCTTGCAAAAAGTGAGAGTTGAGCATGTAGAGCCAGCCACTACAGATGACTCTTTCAGAACAGTTTGTATTTAAGAGAAGCAGCATTGAGAGAGGGGATTTTTAGAATGGGAGAAAACTGAACAGGACAGAGTGGAAGGAGTTGGGGAAGAGAGCTTTAAAATAGTGGAGAGGATGAGGATAATTGATGGAACAAAGTCCTGTAAGTAACGGGGTTTGAGATTGAGAGCACTATTAAAGGGACTGGTTTCAGAAAGACATTTCCTTCCTGTCAAGCAGGAAGGGAAACAAGGATGGATGATGGATATGCATATTGGTTTAAGGCTGGAGAAAAAGGGAATTTGAATGAGTTCAGATATTTTGTTCTATTTTTGGTAGAGTACAAGATCATCTTTGAAGTATAAGGGAATGAGAAAGAAGCTTGATGAGAGAAATAAATGGCTTAGAGCAACTGCTTTGGAGACAAGGGTGATAATGAGGCAGAAAAGCAGTCTCTAGAGTTCCAGGTTCTCCAAAACAAAGTGATTCAGGACTCATGTTTTAGAGAACTATTTTTTCCTCTGCTTTTCAGTCTCATCCGCAACTCTTCTAAAACTATTTCTATTTACACAGTCCTGGAAGTGGAAGAACTGAAGAGAAGTTCTTTGAAACCAAAATGAAGCAGTAGATCATGTCCTCCAAATGTTCATATGAGGAATGAAAGACTAATGTTTCTAACATTAGTGATTTGTCTACATTTAACTGTTTGAAAAAAAAATCAGCAATGTTTTCTCTGAGTTTGTCTCACCCGAAGAGGTATAATAAAGAATCTGGAAGGGGGAAAAAAAGCATTGGCAGAACCAAGAGGAGGTCAAGAGCTATCAGAGGACCCAAACTGGATAATTAACATCTGCTGATGGCATCCTAGAACAGCTTGCCAAGACTTTTGCTGATCAGTTCAAGCCCAAATTCCTGTTCATTTTGTCTTCTGCAGAGTTTCTGAGATTTGTCCAAGCAGGTCTCCCTCCTTTTTTGGAGGGAGACTGTGGCCCTTACTTTCAATGACTTCATGATACAGCAGTGTCTAAGATTTTAAAGTAAAACCTCACTAATTTGTGACTGATGGAGATCTGTTTGGATGGCTGTGAAATGTAGGAATGGTCAAGAGAAAATCTTAGTGCAAATTAAAATGGACTCACATTTAGGGTCTAGCAGTGGCTCCTACCCAGCTCTCAGGAGCTACAGGCCAGAGGACACCCATCCATCCCCCTGGCTTTAGATAAAAGCACAGCCCTGGGCTTACAGAATAGAAATGGACGCAGAGGTATGGGATGGAACACACAAGGTACTGGATCTCAATTACCACCTGTTTATTCAGCAAAAGGCAGGATGTGGGGAAGATGCTTTGATGTCCTTGGCTGCAACTATTATTTGGAGTATTAAAATGAAGTCTGTATGAGGAATATGAGTCAAAACTTGATTTTTAGGGAAGTGAGGAATGTGAAGTTATAGATCAGATCAGTTTACACAATTTAAGCAGTGGTGAGTATAAAGAATTATGTTGTTTTTTTTTTTATTTGTACTTTAAAATTAACATTAAAACGGATTTTAAAATGCTGACAAACATGTTATTAGAAGACCTGCTTTATTAAGTAGATATTTAAAGTGATTTGTAGTTAGCTTAGTAACTTTCATATTTAACTGCTTGAAGTGCTGAAAAACTTTTCGTTAGCATAAGTACACACAAACACTACCATTTGAAAATCAGGCCTTCAACCCAGATCCTATAAGTTGTCACAGATTTCAAGTTTATCTAGGGTCCTAATTAAAGATGCTTATAGCACAGAAGAGTATTCTATCTGTAGCTTCAAAACTCTTATAGCAGAGAATTCCTAGTTAAGAATCTGAAGGCCTTATAAGAAAAGTGAGGACTCAATTCCTAAACACATTTTAAGAAGCTTTACATTTATGTTCAAGAAAACAAGAAAGACAGCCTTCCAAATAGCAGATCAATAACATGTCATTCACCTCAAAACAGCAAAAGTGAGTATTGTACATAACTAATTTTCCTGTATATTATTTGCTCAGGCCACCCTTCCTTGGAATGTCAGCATGACACCTGCAAATTCTTGATGCTGACAGAGCTTGCGTTTGCAGAGGAAGTTCCCAAAGAAGTGTATTTACCTGCTTTGACTCTCTGTTCAAATAGTCAATATTATCTGAATTTATGACTCAGCACTAGTGCTGCTGCCTTCTGCGGTCACACTATGGTTCCACAGATTTTTTTTTTTTTTTCTGAAAAGGCAATCTTTTTATTGAATGTACGTACCTAGGTTTGGAGTTTCACAGATCTTTTAACCAAATCTCAGCTTCTTCTTAACTTAAAGACAAAGGAAAACGATTCTAAGGCCTGGAATTTAGTTCATTTCTCCTAAAGTTGCTTTATAGAAGTCTTCAGCCTTCTACTGTTTTGTTACAGACATTTGTGTAGAAGTTCACTGTTCCTTCCCCCTTTGTTCTCTATACCTCTGAATTTCCTCTGTAACTCTCTTCAAGGAGTCCTTCACAAGCAAACTACAACCATCAAGCCCAGCGCCATCAGTGAAAATGAGCACTCTGAAATTTGGGCTATCCTGGAGCTCTTTCAAAGGCCAAAGTATGTGGGGCCCTTGTGGGTTCCTGCTATGTAAGAAGTCCCAGACACTGTTCTTAAATTCACATTTACTCGCCCTTTCCCAAGCCTTATTAATTAATCCTGTACTTACTGAATAGATCTTTAATGTCATCTGGAGTCTAATGCTAGAGCAGTGCTGCTCAAACCTTAATATGCATATCAATCACTTGTGGATGGATCCTGCTTGCATATGGATCCTGTTAAAAGCAGATTCTGATCCAGTAGCTCTGGGAGAGGGTCTTGGATGCTGCTCGTCAATGGCACCTTAAAGTAGCAAAGATCTAGAGCAGTTGCTACTCAAAATGTGGTCCATAGTACCTGCTAGTTAGTGAACTTACCAAGTACTTATCTTATCTTTAAGGAAGTAAGGAGCTTGCCCCAGGATATAAATCCATTAAATCACTAAACTGACTTTCTTTTCCTAGTGAGACTACCCATGAGGGAAGCAGTTTGTTGACATACATTCTGGCACAAGATCCTCTTAGTAGCACCTATACATCTGCAGTCAATCGATTTTTGACAAGGGTGACAAAACAATTCAATGGGGGAAAGAACAGTCCTACCAAGAAATGGTACTGGGACAACTGGATATCTATATGCAAGATAATGAATTTGTATCCCTGCCTCATACCATTTACAAAAATTAACTCAAAATGGACCAAAGATCTTAAAACTTCTGAAAAAAACATACACACAAATCTTCATGATATTAGATTAGGACATGGTTCTTAGATATGACATCTGAAGCACAAGCAATCAAAGAAAAAGTAGATTAACTTCACTTTATCAAAATTAAAAACTTGTGTATCAAAGGACATTGTCAAGAAAATGAAGACTATGCAAAGAATGGAAAAAATATCTGCAAATCATACATCTGACAAGGATCCAGTAACTAGGCCATAAATAGAACTCTTAAACTCAACAATTAAAAAGACAATGCAGTGTAAAAATTGGCAAAGGATCTGAATGGACATTTCTCCAAAGAGCATACACAAATTGCTCATGAAAAGATGTTCAACACCACCGTTAGGAAAGTGTAAATCAAAACTACAGTGAGATATCACTT